CAATTCTGACACATTTTTGGCAGAGGTCTTAAGTTGAATTTTAACTGACAAGATCAAGGGTTAGATAGTGTGTTTGTATCAAAATGATAGATTTTTAGAGGTTTGGCTTGCAGCATTCCTCTGTGTACTCATTTCGCATCAGATAAATAAAACGTTGTCAGTAGTAGTACAGTATGGCATCAATGATTTATCAACTGTTCATAGTTTGAATTATCATTTGAAGCTTAATATTTGAGTTCTGCTATATTTCTTTTTATATTTTTACAAGTGATAATAATTTCAGAGATTTAACGTGCTAAATACTATTACTGTACGATATATTATAATTGTTGCTCTATATATAGGCCTGGCTAATGTATAATTATAGGCAATTGTAAGGCCAAGTATCGAAAAATCTTTGTTTCCCGTCCTGGGTTTTTTAAAAAAATCGTTGAGGGAGGCACTTATTTGATATTTGTTATTTTTTCAAAGTTTGTCAAAATATGCCAAAGATGTTCTCTGTGTAGCAAGTTGTAAACAATTTGTCAATAGTTTTGTCATTGCTTATCTTGCTGTTATCATGGTCTTTGTGTTTAAAAATACATTTGTAAACTATTAAATGTGTCAGCAATTGAAAGTTTGTATTTTCGATGTAAAAAAAAATTCCAAAATTTGAAGAATAACTTAAAAAAAAAATGATGTGGGCCCAAAAATTGGTGAGGGAGGAAAAAAGGAATTTTTGTTATTTGGCCTAATACATGTATGCATTCTAAGATCTGATTGATTGAATAATCAGCATAGGCCTATAATTAATATAAGCTTGTGAATATTAGCAAGTGTATTACACTGTAATAATTTAATAAATCTTTATGAATCAAAGAGAATTTAAATAACTGCATACTTTGTATCGTATGTAAAGTTAAAATAGTTTTCTTCGTCAATCTACAGATGCATAAATTTATATATTGTTTATATATGCTTTGCATCAATTCTTAAATTGCCTTATAATTAATTTAAGAGTTTTTTAGTAAAAGATTATAAATCAGTGAAAATGAATTGTTTTGATTTGTATTTTATTTAATGTAATTATAAAAGAAGAAATTGCAGAGTCAATTCATTTTACCATATTCAGTAGGCCTGTACGGCAATAGAGCATGTGTTGTGCTTCTCATTGAAATCTTGCTTTGTAAATGTATTAGACATGGAGTGGGATCATGACCCCAACTGAATACTTAATCCTAATTCCTTAATGTTCTTAAGACATGCTTTCAATTCTTAAGAAACCATATGCGTGGATCTGTGTTTTTGTGGAGCTGGGATTTGCAGTGCTCATAATGACTATCTCTGCTCCAAATCATGTTTCATATTTATTAGGTTTTATTATTTAATTTTTTATTTATTAATTTTTCTTTTCATAATTGCATTGTCAAGAATGTGTTATTCATTGATAGGCAGAGTGAATAAATGAAAATGATGAAGAAATATACTTTTAACTTTATACTGTAATTATATATACTGTGAGAGAAAATAAGGACAATTTTTGGGATTTTATAGAAATTAAGTAAAATTACAGTTAACTATAAAAGTGAGTAGGAAATTATTTTTAAAAGAGGAGAATATATTGTTTGAAGATCACTTAATTTCAAGTTATATAAATATTTATTACATTTTTATGTGGTTGCTTTGATTGCAGCAATAGATTAAACTTCTTAATTAATATATAGAACCAAGGCCTATATGTATAATGTATACTGTTTACCTGCAGTATGCATGAAATGTCATTTTAAATATAGTGACACCATGTTATTATGGTAGTAATAACAAGCTAGAATATTAATTACATATCTATGAGGTTTTTTTGATTAACTACACATACTGTATCAAGATTAAAGTGTCATCACAAAAGCTGTCGTCATCTATCTGAATGTGTAGTGAGTTGTCCGACATACTTGCTGACTATTAGAGGTTTACTGGATTGAATTTAGATTCTTGGGAGAGGCATTTAATGAGGACAATGCCCTGTGGCCAGTTTGTACATAATATTGTTATGATTAGTAATTTTTAAATCGTATTATGGCAATGTGCTTGCTGGTCATGTGGTTGTTCAGTCATGTGATCATTCAGTTGATTGGATTGTGATGAGAACCAGCTTAAATGTTATTTGATACTTTTCAGATATTTCCTCAAGGACAATCAATGGAATTAAGTCGTAAATGTTCGGATGATGTTTTCTTTGCATTCACAAGGGTGTTGTATTCCATATATGATCGGTAGTGAATTTAAAGTGGTGGTGAAGATGACCCTCTCCTAATCACACTATCTTGAGTTCGAAAATGCAAGTTGCGTGTTGGAAAATGCTAGCTTCGAGTTGGAAAATGCCAATTGCAAGTTGGAATATCCATTTTCCAACTGGCAACTTGAATTTTCCAACTCTTAATAGATATCCTCACAAGAAGGCTGGTTCATCTAAAGTGAAGGTTAAGATCTTTGATAAGGATCACAACCGCTAGCACGCACTCATCCTTTGTATCCTTATCTCTGATTCACATTATTTATTTGATCTGACAGAAGATTTTCAGTATGATTTCAGTCATTTAGTGAACTACTGTAATAATTAGATTATTAAAAACTGGGGTGGGATGAAGGGTGTTTTGCCCCTATTCCCCCGTTTTTAAATAATCAAAAATCTGCTCATTTAACTGTTTTTCGTCAAACACCATTTTTGTGTCTTGGAAAAATCAGTTGTACAATTTTGTTTCCTCCGGAGCCTGGTTTTACCACAGTTTATACTTTTTCTTTTTATTTCCTTCAGTTCTATTGTACTCCAGGGCAAATTATAAAAATTACATGAAGTCAGGACCTTGGTTGAGCAACAAGAAATTTGTTTTAACTTGTTGTTTTTGTATAAGAATAAATGGAATAATCAAATGTAACTGTGAAATAGATTATTTCATGAGTCACATACTTTCACAAAGGTTGTTCTGTCAGTGAACTTTGGTGAAGTTAACGTTTGAATATGTTTTACCCACTTTCATCGTTTTGATTTAGAAGAGAAACGAAAGGATAGATTATTATGTATATAGTACTATAATCTTGGTCTGATGTTAATCAGATTTTAATGAAAGGTAGCAGATGTTTACCAGTGAGACTGCCAGTGACATAGAGCATACATTATGAAATCTCTAAAGTACCTTATTGTATACTAGTGTGAAAGAGATTTCTTTTTTTAATGCAATGAAGCATGATGACTATTTAACCATGAAGTGTCTGTAGAGAATGCCGAGCAACGTGCCCATAGGAATAGAGGGTCTGTTGTGTTGGGCTCATGGGGTGCACATAGGAATAGAGGGTCTGTTGTGTTGGGCTCATGGGAAATGGGCTGTGTCAGATGCTCTTCTTATGAAATATGAGAGACTTGATATAAATAACAAACAGTTCCTTGGACTAGGTATCATCTCAGCTGCACATTGTAAAAGCATATCAAATGAACTCAATGCTTTTGGAACCTGGACAGGTTTCTTCAAATTTTGAAATATTTCTTTTTTCTCCTATAGCTACTCAAATTATGATTCTGTAGATGGTGCTCGATATATTGGGCATTTTGGGTGTGGCCCTAATTTCGATAGGAGGGTTTCTCAATTCAGTAGGCACCAGCAGGGTCTATAGTAGCTCCTCCCTGGTGTCTATGAAAATTGTGTCAATTATTGGCCATTTTAAAGTGTTTTTCAGACATTTTAAAATGTATTACAGGGGGATCCAGTCAAAAGTCCCAATGAACATGGAATGAATATTACAAAATATGTTGTTGGGGTATTGCCAATGTTTATAAGGTGTCATGTTCTTATCTTGATTGAATAAAAATGTTTTTTCTTTTCTGACTTTATTAAACTCTTCACTAGTGAATTACTGTAACTTAAAATTTTAATAGATAATTTTGAATTGTTAGGTTGGAATCTAAATGAATCTAATAGGCTATAGTACTTTTGAAACCTGGTATGATTATTTGTGGAACAAAGTTCAACTACTGTAATGTATACTGTTTTACATACCCTCCCAATGGAATACTCCCTAAGGATTAGAGTCTTACAAATTATTCAACGCTAATACTCTATTGACTGTTCTTTATCCAATGACCAGGCTAAGAAGCACTTGGTGAGTGAATGGGTAATAACCACAAAGTAAATAACTGAAAATTTCAATATCGGCATAATAATAATAATATGAATCCAATACAGTACTTTTGAAACCAGTGCTTAGCATTAAGAATGAACTACAGTTAAAGGTTAAATAAACATGTACAAACAAAAAATAAAAGTGTATGTGTGCTACTGACCTAACTACTGTATATACCTATTGTTTTACAGCCAAAATAACTTTACTGCCCTGGACATAAAGTTTACTCTTGCTGTTCAAGTTTTTACAATTTTTTATCTTTTTCAAGGGCAGATCGAGAGATGTTCGTAAGGGGCGGGGGGTGGGGGACGAAGGGGAACCGAATGTGGGGCCGATGAGTTAATCCTACCTTAGTGGTCCGGGGAAATTCCTCCACGAAAATATGGTGTTCTAGACGTCCAAAAATAACCACTGATGCGCTTTGGGTGATCAATTTTTTTCTTTTCCTTTCTTTTTTCTTTTCTTTTTTTTTGCTTTCCAAAAGGGGGAGCCGGGGCAGGATCAGCTCCTCCTAAATCTGCCTCTGTTTTTATTGTGTTTGTGGCCCTGGGCAATTTACCTTTTACCAACCCCATGCAGCAAACCTGGTATTCACACAGGTTTTTCATTAGTAGCTAGCAGCCGGTAGCCTAGACTGGTTACTACGGCTTTTCACCGGCTACTTTTATACCACACTTGGGGGAGGGGATACCCCCCGATCCCAGGAAATCTCATGTAACTCCTACTCATTCTCCTCCTACCCTAAACCTTAATGAAATCCCTGTATCCATTTATGACTCATTTTTGATCTTGTTGAAATACTGTAGTTGAGATTGTGTATTTGATTTTTCTTTTTTCTTTTCCTACAGCTTCTTTTTATGGAACAAGCTTAATTCACCTTCCTCTCGAGGATGTTTCATCTGAGAATGAAATCACCCTTCAGTTTCGTACCAGTCGGACAAGGGGATTACTATTTCTGGCAGCTGGACAAACCGACTACTGTATAATACAAATTGAAACTGGTCGTGTACATGTGCTGTTGCAAGTTGGATCAGGAGAGATTCAGATGAGCCTGGAAAAGAGGATTAAGGTCAATGACCTGGTATGGCATCAGATATCACTCCGACAACTTGAAGGAATAGTCACACTTTCTGTTGATCAAAAATTTTTTGTAAGCAAGAGCCTTCCCGGTGAGCAGTACGTATTTGATGTTACAGATGGTGTATATGTAGGAAGCACTCCATCCAACTTCAAACATAAATACGCAAGTAAAGTGGAGAAGTCATTTAGAGGCTGCATTGAGAATGTCATGTTTAATAATATAGATGTATTTCAGTTGGCTTTAGAAACTGATGATGCAACAACGAATGACATTACACAGAATTGTAGTGCAGAGTTTGTTGCTGCCCCGAATGACCCTATCAGCTTTGTATCGGACACTTCATATATACAAATGCCAAGATGGATTATACTAACAAGAGGTTCCTTTGCATGCTGGTTAAAAACCTCAGTTGGAGATGGGCTAATTCTTTATCAAGGTGGTAACACCGAAGATTTCATTGCTGTAGAGTTGAAAAAGGGTAGAGTCCGAACTATTTTTAATAGAGGAAGCGGAATTGTAGATTTTACATCAAGTACTTCGGTCAACGATGCCAACTGGCATTATTTGATCATTGACTTTACTGACACATCAATAAGTATTAGTGTAGATTATGAAGCAGAGGTCCAGGGGATAGATACTGACTCTGAGATATTTGAAATGAACGGGATGATGTTTGTCGGTGGCGTTGTGCTGAAGTCGCGCATCGATGCAATTGAAAATGGAATTAATTCCATCACACATGCTAGCAGAGGTGGATCATTTCAAGGGTGTATTCGTGATATTGAAGTAAATCATCAGCAGTTAACGCTTGCTGATACACGTGTTACACATGGCATCAGCCTGGAATGCGTTTACACGTTCCCTTGTTCTGATAAACCTTGCAAAGATGGTGAAACATGCACTGATATTGGAACAGTGAACCATGAATGTCATTGTATGACGCACAGCTGCAATAAAGAGCTTACAACCATGGTGGATCCTTCTTTATATATTTTGCCCTCAACTAAGGCAGTTACTAGTCCTCCAATAGTTGATGTGAATAGTGAACCAATCAGCACAAAATCACTGACTTTACTAGAAGGTGGTAGAGCCACGATCACTACCAATAATATCCATCTAAATATCGATCTTTCAAAATATGGGTTACGTCCGTCCCAGATTTTATTCCGCCAGAAAAAAGCGCCAAAGCATGGTGGAATTTATAGGTATGTGTTGCGAAAGGACGATGAAACAGACCAATTCACACTCCTTGATTTAAATGGTTCTTCTAAGATCACCTATCAACATGATGGTAGTGAACATTTTAAGGATAAAATTAAACTAGAGTTGGAAATACTTGGGAAAAATACTCTACCAGAGGAGTTTAAAGATGCTGAATTCACCATAGATGTGAATATAATACCAGTTAATGATCCACCTAAACTTGTTATACCATCAGATAGCATCCTAAAAATCATTCAAATGTCTAGTGTTGTACTGACATCAGATGAGTTAAATGCAATGGACCCAGACACAGATCCTACCAACCTGACATATTCTGTTTTAGATTCAAGGAAAATAGGTTTTATGTCAATGGATGATTCAGATACCAAAGAGTTTACACAAGCTGATATAAATAATGGACGCGTATTGTTTGTTCATACCGGGCCAATGTTTAAATCACGTGTTACTCTTCGTGTTAATGATGGTCATAAATACAGTCGCCCTGTGCCATTACGTATTGAGGCCGTTCCTTTAGAGCTGTATGTGATTGAAGGCTCTAAACTGCGCGTGAACCCTGGTGACTCTGTTATGATAACAACAGAAAACCTAAATGTAGAAACAAGTGCTGAACATCAGGAACTGGATATTACATATGAAATATTAGCTTATCCAAGGTATGGAGAAATCCAAAAAACCTCAAATGGAAAATTTTGGAAAAGCGTGAATTCATTCCAACAGCGACACATCGATAAACAGAAGTTGCGTTATACACTCAATGATTATACACCAGAAGCAGGTCGGAAGCGCGATGCTTTTTCTGTACGCGCAACTTGTTTGGATCAGACAATTGATGACATCCGTGTACTCATAGACATTCTGATAACTGAGGTTAGGATTCTGAACAATACTGGGCTCACTCTTAATAAGCGACGACAGGGATTCATCTCTCCTGCGAATTTATCCTCGGATGTTGTCGATGCTCTTTTCCCTTCACCTGTCAGATATAACGTACTTCGTCCTCCATTAAAGGGTGACCTACTAAAAAAGGGTAAAAGGTTAACCAGTGGTCAGAACTTTACTCAGAATGATGTGAACAATGGTATTATGGAGTATAGAATAAATGATGATGTTGGGCAGACTATCAATGATTCGTTTCTTTTTCAAGCTTTTGTTACAAATGCCCAGTCGTCTTATCTAAAGTTTGAACTCGCATTTGTATCAGAAGCTGGGCCTGTGCTTTTAACTAATGCAGGAACCACTGTACAAGAAGGTGGCTACCATGATATCACTTCGCAGGAATTATATGTGAGTGTTGAGGAAAATGAAGATTTTGAATTTACGTTAACAACATTCTTGCGGCATGGGTCTTTACATTTAATCAACCCAACAACATCTGAAATTATCTACTCAAATATATCTTCATTTTTTAACAGTGACCTCAAAGATGGTGCTGTCCGCTATCAACATGACCATTCAGAGGGATTTACAGATTCTTTTGGATTCTTAGCATCGACTTCATTTGTAGACCAAGCTGGAATCATGCATGAGGTGCAGCAACCAGGACTGTTCAACATTAGTGTAAATCTGATCAATGATCACAAACCTAAACAAGTCGTTCTGAAGCCTTTTCAAGTTGTCCGTAATGGAAAGAAGCTTCTCACCAACAGAGATTTAAAGTTTATTGATGAAGACATTGATTTTGATGATGCCAATATTGAGTACAGAAGACAAGGAATTCGTAATGGCCAGTTTGTTTGGGTTGATGATGTTGAAACTCCGGTTTTTCGGTTCCTTCAGAGAGACATTGATGAAGAAAAGCTGCTTTTCAAGCATAGTGGTGTGGATGAAGCTCGCATGTTGTTGATTGTTAGAGATCAAGACCAAAGCCGACTAACAACTTCATACCTGAAGGTGATTGCCTCTGATCCTTTTCTCACTGTTACATGTGATTCTGAATTGCCTGTGAAATTTGGCCATACTACAACCATCACAACTTCTTATTTAAATATTGAGACAAATTTGAATGTTAAGGCTAAAAACATTCTTATTAATATTGTTAAGCCAGCAGTGTTTGGTCAAGTTCTTAAAGTGGGTTCCCCAGTTACTTCATTTACTTATGAGGATCTGCATCTGAAAAAAATTGAATATGAAAGTACACTTGAGGAAAATCAACAAGAAAACCTGCATGATGGTTTTGATTTCATAATTCTTTCCAAAGAACTCGTTACTGATGGATCTCTTGCCATCAGTATTTTCTTGGAGCAGCATCAGGTGTTACCAAAAGTGTTGAGCAACAAGCCATTTTTTGTAGAGAAAGGAAAAGCTGTGATCCTGAATAAGTCAAATCTAAAAGTGTACCATGAGGATTCTCTGCCAGGTGATATTGTCTTTATGGTGCACCAGTTGCCCAAATATGGAGTCTTGCAATTAAATTCAGATAGAAATAAAAGGAAAAGAAGGCAAGTGGAACTTTCCTTTACACAGCATGATGTCAATCAAGGAAGAGTTGAATACATTCAGACTAAAGATGCTGGTGAAGGTCAAGATAGTTTTACCTACGATGTTGATAATGGGCAGACAATGCTTTACAATTTGACATTCACCATTGAGATTGTGCCAGAGATGGTTCCAATTATTATTGAGAACATCACTGTTAGGGAGGGTGGCTCAAAAGCATTGACAGAGGAATTTATAAGAGTTGACCATCCTTACTATGAAGCAGATGATTATATTATCCAGTTGACTACCAATCCATCACATGGAATCTTAGATCATTCTCGTTTTGCAGGTGTTCCTATCAGCAGATTCACAAAGGAAGATATTGAAGATGAGTTTGTATACTATGTTCATGATGGCAGTGACACACTTCTTGACAGTTTCTCTTTCATCGCAAACTTCACAAAAATTGGTAAGGTCAGTAATACATCCACAGTCTTTGTTGATGTCGTTCCTGTTAATGATCATGAACCAACTGTGGTGGTGAATAAAGGATTGGAGGTTATTATTGGTTCTACCACAACCTTATCTGGTGATGTATTAAGAACAGTTGATGAAGATTCAGGACCTGATCAGCTTGTGTACACATTGACTCCTGCAAACAATGGCCGCTTGATCATGAAAGGTGGCACAAACCAATCAATTTTGACATTCAGTCAAAAAGACTTGAATGAAGGAAATATTATATTTGTTCACTCAGGTAATTGACATCATTCATATAAAATTTTGTTGTGAATTTGTATTCAATGATTTCTGCTCAAAACGATATTAAAAGCAAGCAATATTTCTAAAGTTTTATGATTTTTAAATCTTTACTACTAAACTAAACTTTTTCTAATGAATTTTATGCTTTTTACATTGTGTATTGTTTTAATGATTGTACTGTTTTTTATATGAGATGCGAATAAATCAAATCAAATCAAATACTATTCCTATAAAATTATATATACTTTTTGTTTTTTTTGCCAAACAATAATTGTTGCATTCTGTTCTTGTGGTTACTTCTACATTTTATATTTATATATAATTGTTATTGTTTTTCTTTGTGTCTAGGTGTTTATACTGGTGGATTCCGTTTCCAAGTTAGTGATGGCACCTATAACTCAAAAAGACAAATATTCAGCATCACAGCGAAGGCTCTTAGAATCTCCTTAACAAGTACAAACCCTCTCATTGTTGGTGCTTTTTCTCTTCAACCAATCACAACGGATTACCTGATGGTCAAAGCCAATCTAAACCTAGAACATCTTGGACTTCCAGTCACTTATATTATAGTCAGGAATCCTGAATTTGGACAGATTGTACTGATTACTACAGAATCTGAGACCAATGGAACTAATTTTCTTTCCGTCAACCACTTTATGCAGGATGATGTTAAACAAGGAAACATAGCATATCTCCATACAGATTTCAAGACTGATGCCAATACAGATTCTTTCACATTTAATGTTGTAATCCCTTTTTCACAGAATCTTACCAACCAGTTATTCAACATCACCATCAAACCACTTGATGCTAGTGAAAGCATAATGATACAAAATAGAGGATTGAACGTCACAGAAGGCGAGGAAGCAATAATTGGTGTCCATAATTTAAATGCTGAAAAGTTTTTAAAGATGCCATCATTTGCTGGAGAAGATAGTAGTTTTGAAATTCTTTATGTCATAATTGAACTACCAAGTCATGGATCTGTCATGCTAAATAATGTTACCCTTAAATTTCATGGGTCGTTTACCAATCAGAACATACAAGAGAACAAAGTAACATATTTACATGATGATTCAGACACATTTGAAGATCATTTAAAATTAATGATATCCCTTGTTGATAAACTAAATACTGTTGTTTCTAATCAAACTGAATTCTTTAATATTACAATTTTTCCAGTTAATGATGAAACTTTTGAGATTGTTACCAAAAATCTGTTGATGCAAGTACCACAAGGCACAGAATACGTCATCGATAAGGGTGACCTAGAGACTATCGATCCAGACACAAATCCTAATCAGATTGTCTACCATCTTCTAACGAGGCCTAGTAATGGTTATCTCGTATTTACAGATAATAAGTCAATTCCTGTTATGTCATTTACTCAAGAGGATATTAACTCCCATCAACTTATTTTTATACATGATGGCAGCGTAATGAAAGGAGGTTTTCCATTTGAAGTTTCAGATGGTGCTCACAAGCCCAAGTTCAAACTTTTCAATATTGTCATTATTCCAACAACAATTGACGTATCCCATGGTATAGAGATACAACTTCTTCAAGGCCAGACCGAAATTGTTCTCACTAGATCAAATTTTAATGCTACAACAAATGGCAACAAATTGCAAATTGCTTACAACATAACTATGCTACCAACTTTTGGTCATTTTGTGATGTATGATAAAATTGTGACAGAGTTTTTACAAGATAATGTGGACATGAAATTGGTTAAGTATATTCAGACAAATCTGTCTGTAGCTGGAGATAGTTTTTCATATGTTGTTGCTATTGATGAAACTATGTCAGAAACATATTCGCTCAATGTTACTGTTCAACCTGCATTTGTTCTAAATGAATTCAATGTCAATGCTGGAAGTGTTTTCCAACTTTCTTTAGATCAAGTCAATGCTACTTTGCTTGAGAGGAGCACTCAGACAGATCCCATCTTTAGTGTAGCAGACATATCGGGTTTATGTTCAATTGTTAATGTATCTAATTTAGAGGAATTATCAGAGTTCACACATAAAGATCTTTTAGAGGGATGGGTTGCTGTTGAAGTGGATCATATTGATCTTCAGAAAAATGAAACATTAACTGCTGGTTATAGTTTGATTGTGAGTTCCTCTGAAGCTCAGCCTGTTCTACTGTCTGGTTCTTTGACCATTCTGCCACAAATAGTACAAACCACAACAGAAAGACTGCAGACCACAGTACCTGAAATTGGCAGTGGTGATGTGATCAAAGTTGATTTCATGGCAGATGTTAGCAACCCAAGCAGTTCAGACAAAGACTCTGGCATCACAGGACCACCAGATTATCTTACGACTTCACCAATATTCAATGAAGGAAAGTCGGATGAAGGTCCTCCTGACAGTAGTATCATTCCAATTATCATTCCAATCATCATTGTAATTATTTTTCTCATTATTATCATACTACTAGTAGTTTGGTTGATCAGAAAAAAACGGAAGGAGGCTAAAAGTGGACGGGAGTCTCCATACCCTGACATGGATGGTGGGCCCTATCCAGGAGCTTCAGCAATTCCAGGGCAAGCTGGCATTTTACCACCTATCAATATCTGTGCCGTGAATTATAGCGCAGCATCTCAAGAATTTCCTTATAGTGGTTCAGGATCACTGCATCGTCCTATAGCAAGTCCACTAGTTCCTCAGGTGACTGTCACAGCACTTGGACGTCCGCCGTCCCCGTCCACTATTAAAAAATCGTCCTTGGTTAGTATAAATACAAATGGTACAGGTTCGCTCTCTTACAGCATGTCCCACGATTCTCAACATGCTATGCCTACTCCTAAGTTAAAGAAGAGTCAATATTGGGTTTGATAGATCAAAATGTTAGATTATTTTTTACAAATAGATGTATAAATTTTTAAGATGTGAATATTGGTAGTTAAACAAATATAGCTATTAACTTTTGCTAATATCATCAATTTCATATATATGTTGCGCATACAACTGAATTAGATGAATATGTAATTTTTTAATTTGATATAAATTCTTTTTGTTAATGTGAAATTCCAGTATGTCATATCTTATTAAATTTTGTAGTTATCTATCCAGGTTGGTAGATAAAATGGAAAAACCATCCCAAACATATGACTTCTGTAGTACAGTATATGCAGTAGTTCACTAACATATTATATGACGTAAGCCGGTAAGAATGAAGATTTAAGATCGTCCACACTTTATCAATACCAATATGCTTTGTCTGTTAATAAGATTTTATAGTCTTTCTCAGTTACCATTAGAAATTAACGAAAAGGAAAATGATATGATATAATGCTCAAATTGGTTCAAATATTGATCTAAAGGATAAGCTGAAATGATACTGCAAGAAAAGGGTTCATATAGATGAACTTAAATTATATGAAACGTTGTATACTTCCAGTTAGGCATACTACATTATAGGTAATAGAAATCCTAGTTCAATGCTTTATTCACATAATGATCCCTCCATGAAGGGGGTTTTTTTTTATAGTATTTACAGTATTTACATTTTACTATTAATAGGCCATATGTGGCATTTTTTAATGGTCTATTTAAGATCTAATTGATTAGAATTTAAAATTTATGCTGTAATTATTAAACACTGAAATGATTTAAAATTACTCTTTTTTATTTATACATTGCACAAGATTTTATAGTTTTTTGATGTTTTATGACAGTATTACACATATGATGCAATGAGCAACTCCTTGACATAGTAAGTAGTAATAAAGTGGTATATTTTGAGTTGGATAAGAAGGCTGTAGTATATATATGCAAAACCTATAATTAATGAAGATTTACGAATTCCAAACGCCAAAGATTAGTTGTAATATTATTGAGTAGGCCTTGTTTAAAAATAAGTAGCAAAAGACCCACATTTTGTATAACATGTGTAATATTAGAATATTTATATACTTATTTCATGTGTGAAATGAAACAGGAATGAAAGAGTTCATTAACCTGACACGGGGAGTAATTGGAAAAGATAATCGAATTGCAGATCAGTTAAACAGAAAACAAGAGTTGAGATGTGATAAACATTTACATAGATTGTGTTTTTAGTACGATCTTTCACAGAACATCGTACAATAATATAGTTGATACTATGAATCATATGCAACTCAATTAAAACTAATGATGTTCAGTATTGCCTATAATTCGATGTTGCTTTCGTTACATTCTACGATGTTGTTCCTGATTCTTGTGCACCATCGACGTACAACGTCCATGTGGGCGCACGCGATGCCTTGTAACCTCAAAAAATTTCATTTCTGTATTCACCTTTTGCAAAATGTTGTGGTTGGGTTACGGTACCTCAGAATATAACGTTAAAGTCGGGCTATTCTGGGGAAAAGGAACGGAAGAAGGAACGGAAGATACTTTTCCCAACTTTTCCTCCAGTTTTTAAAGTATTCAAAAATATTATCTCTCATTAATCGTTTTCGTCAAGTAGGCCTATGCTTGTTGTACCACATATCAAAACATTTTTTTTCATCCGGAGCCTATCTTTAACACAACGTGGCAGCGACGTTAATATTTAGTCAGAAATTATTTTTTAAATACTGTACCGGTACTGTACGCAAGACTCGCTCTAAATAGTGGCCTACACTCTTTTTAATAGGTTATATACAGTACCAAACTGCAACATCATTGTAACGTAAAATTGTTATCCGGGTGATGTCATGTCATGATTACATTTGACAGTAGGTGATGAGAGATAAGACGTTCAATTTTCAACATATGTTGATTCATACGATAAGCTTATGATACCACATTGCACCCCAGACTACATAACGAAATTTCACGTAAGCTGTGACATTCGTTACAGTACTGACTCACAATTACATCATAGTCGAGACACATAATAGAAAAATAATATCAATTTAATTTCTTTATGGAAGACCGACTATATCTTGTTGGATACAAGGGGCGGATCCAAAGATGTCCGAAAAGGGGAGGGGGCGATCGAGAAAACACGACCCCAGGGGGTTCCAGGGCATTCCCTGCAAAATTTTGCTCTCTAGACGCCAAAAAATAACCTCCAGGCGTTTTGGGCGATCATTTTTTCTTTCATTATTTATTTATTTTTTTAACTTTCCAAAAGGCTCCCCCCCCCCCGAAATCCACCCCTGGCTGTTTATATCTGTCTCTTATACACATCTAGATGTGTATAAGAGACAGCCCCTAGATGTTCTTATGTTTTTGCATAACATTCAAGACTACACGAAGCAATCTTAGCAAGATGCAAAAGCATCTATGAAAACATTTTTCTCGCATTTTGTTCGTGTGTTGATGTTTTATAGTCGCTACTTGGGCAAGGTAAACAATTTGTGAATATATTAATTCCTAATTCCAACAAAATGTACGGCGTGTGCATCCAATATCTATCAATCATCAAAACTCATCAATATACATTTCACCTTTATTTCTCGAGAGAAATTTACCCATTGTTGATTTGGTGTCTAAAAATTAAAAATAACATTATCCTTAATATAATCTTTTCTTGGAAAGCAAGCTTTTTCTAATCCCATTAAAAAAAACCCCATGATTAAGCTAGTAATGTTTTCATTTTAAGTACACTTCTATATGAGTTTCTTCAGTGACTAATAATACTTATTGCTAGCTATGTTGCTTCTGAGAAACATATACAGTAAATAAATTGACATAACTTCCACAATCTCAATATGTAGGACCTAGTTGTTACCTGTAACTTCTAAACTAATTTATTAATATTTATAACATTGAATAATAATGCCCGAGTCATTAAGCAACTTGTTAGGCATAGGCATATACCGTGATGAAGGAAATTTTTTGTCAATAATTTCAACTGATTGTACCAAGACAGTGTTTGAATCAGTCATTATTATTAAATGGTTCAATGGGCAAATTTGCCTTCATATAAGAACCAGGGATGTGGACGATAGTGAAACTGAAGGAGACATAAAACCAGCAAAAAAGAGGCATACCTTGTCCTACTTTGCCAATTCAACGTATCCCTACGAAACAACCGTGTGGATTATGAACGGAATCGCGATGAGTGACCGTCTAACGCAATAACCCAGACTATCATTCCATTTACATAGTAACCGAAGCTATTAGATGGTTAGGCCTATAATTACTACTGTATATTTATTATATTCTTCATAAAATTGCTGGAATAGCTTTCCATTCTAGCTGAACTAAAGCTCCATTCTGTGTGACCGTATAAAAAGTCAGTTGATGTATAAATTTGCGCCGATACCAGTCTATGCCTAACCATGGAGGTATTTATTATAGTAAACTAAAATATCTCTATGATCTAAATTAGATGGAGTATGTATTCGCCTTGATAGCAAGCTAATCTGCAGGTTCGAATCACGCTAGAGACACTTTTCTTACTACTGAAAAATGAACTTCACGTTGGAGGGATGCTTGATTTGATACGATTATAACATCTCATTTTCCCATCCCATCAGATTATTTATTTATCTCCCTTTATATTGTGTTACGGTCTACGCATATGCAGCAAACCTCGGTAATACGTGTACTCTATTTGTTTACCAGTTAATCCAAGCGTTACTAAAACACGATTACAGATGCGCATGGTTTTCACCTGTTATGCGTTTCCAATTTTGGTAGCTGGGACGATTGTATTCAGTAAATGTTTTTTGTCATAATGAGTAAGATATAGTTTGACGTAAACCTTTATCTAATGTATGCTTTAACCGGTCGTTTGTAAGAAAGCATATAACGCTTCGGTAGTAAACTTCAATAACTCCACTATGATGCATAAGTGACGCATATATTAAACAACGTCAACCAATCATACATGTTGGTATCTATTGTAACAGCCAATCATAATACTACTTACCAAAGGTTATTTTTAGCTTATCTGGCCGCACCTGTACGAATGATGAGTACAGTAGGGAATTGGTAGATACTGTTTGTGAATTTGTACTAATACGGATTGTTAAAGAGAAATAATGTCTAGGCCTGATATTGGGAAGGTTGATGACTTAGCAACTCTTCCGAATCTTGATGAAAAAATCCTGCTTGAAGAGCTAAAATGCCGCTACGATCAAGACAAAATATATGTGAGTTAATTTAGTTAAGCCAATAGTATTAGTAAACACCTGGCTTGGTTTGCTTTTGGGGTCGCTCGCGGGGGTTGTGTGGTAGTAAATAGATATATCTGTAAGCCTATCTATCGTTTGAGTGCAATACCAACGGCATGCTTAAAATATACAACAGAAGAGATCACAAGTGTAGCGCGCAGTTTCGTTTTTGTGTTAATTATGATAGTTTATTTTTTTAGACATATGTTGGAGATATTTTGGTGGCGGTGAACCCTTTTCGTGACATTGGAATTTACAGCAAAGAGGTAGGCCGAAACAAAATTATTACGTTTAGACAATAATTATAACAATGATAATGTTATGTTATTGGACCTTAGACTGAAAATATTGACTTATCAAATGTTTAAGTATTATATAATGATATATAGTATAGGCCTAGTATTATATACACTACCCCCGAGAAAAGGCGAGGAGGTAGACGTGGTTGGTGGTTTGGCCAGTGCCGTGGGACAAAACAATTCTAAAAATAATATGGTGTATTTGGAAAAAGTAATATTCGCATGCCGTCTCTATAAATCAGTGGCAAATACCAAGAATCCGAAATACAGTAGAGGGGGGCCCAGAGATGGACTATCCCAGATGGATCTAGAATACCTGAGCCCCGTATGGTTGGGGCTTAGGTGAAAAAACATTTGTGATTAAGCCACCTCTAGAATTGGCACTCCCAGACTCAATGTTTGAATTTTTCCTTTTTTTCTCCATTTCTTTATAATTAAAGAAAAATTTAGGGCGACTGGACCAGGCCCCTTTCCCTGTAAATCCGCCACTTCTAATTGTCCGAATTAGGCATCCATGCCTAATTACATGAAACTCCCCCTGCTCCGGGGGGGCAGTGGCAGTGCCAGCGCCAGTGGGCGGCGGGGGCCTTAAGTCCCCTCACCGGACAGGTCAAGCCCTCCCACCGGACAGAGCTCGTCGGACAGTCAGACCATAAAACATATAAAAATAGGCCCACACCAAGCCAACACATGTTTGTCACAGTGCCATTTCCGGCCATCCAGAGGCTGATATTTAAAAAAAATCACATTTATGAGGGGGAACCACCCTCTCAGCCCCTTCCCCAGCATGAGCCGACAAGCTTAAGTCTCCCTGTCGAACAACTTAGCCCCCCCCAGAAAATATATCCTAGAGCTGCCACTGCTAGGGGGCCCGGCAGCTTTGCTTACTCGACGCCCAGGGCCACTAAGAGAGGCCCGCATTACATAATTCTGAGTATCAAAGCACACTGTAAACCACAGCTTATATTGCCAAAAACACATACTTTATGGAACTTGGTCTACATTTATTTTTCCATGGTTAGTTTTCAGAAAAATACAAGTATCAAAAACGTACATCAAATGCACCTCATATATTTGCCGTATCTGATGCGGCATACCAAGCTATGCAGACGGGGAGTTCAGTTGGGGGAAAAAGGAACCAATGCATTGTCATCAGGTAAGAATAAGTTTCAAAAGTTATCCCCTAGGAAATAAAAAGGATCAGAATTGTAAAGTTAAAATGAATGGATAGTTAGTTTGTGGTGATGTTTATTTGTAGGCTTTATGATTGTATGATAAAATGATAAAAATAATTATTTATCTTTTTGTTGTTTGTAGTGGTGAAAGTGGAGCAGGAAAAACTGAAAGCACAAAACTAATCATCAAACAGTTGATTGACATCTGTCATGGAAAATCTCAACTTGAGCAACAAATTCTACAGGTGAAGTCAGTTTACAGTTACTGTAGTTTATCTTAGTTCAACTTTGGAATCAATGGCACGTGCTTAAATCTGAGTGATGCATCCAAAATACAAGAGACACAGAAAGCAGATTAGCTCAGTCGGTTAAACTTGTGGTAGCCACGGTGTGTGCGCTGAATCATGGAGATCTCTTGGTTCCTGTTTCCATTCCCATCACTGCTCTCCTTGTGTGTAAAAAAGAGCACCTCTTTCGGATGAGACGTTTAAATATCACAAGTGGAAAAGAGATAAATTTAGTCTATGAATATATAAAAACAATACAAAAAATTGATAAAAATATCAAGTTATATATTTTCTGGGTGATTAATCATTTTCAAGCATTATGGTGCCATACTAATAAAAGTCTATGAAAAGCTAATTGTGTTATACTATATTGTAGGATTTAGATAAAAGGGGTAAGTATCTTATAATCAATATAGAACCATTTCTAAAGGTCATCATATAGTAAACACAACATAGTGACTAATACAAAAATTATTTTAATACAAACTCATTTAAACTCTGACATAATACACATACCTGTAAAGCCATAGATCTATTCAGATTCAGAACCACTCAGGTGCAGCACCCTCATCGATGTAACCAAAATCATCTCATGCTCCATCACCCACTGACACCTATCAAGCAAATACACTCCTTGGCCATCTCATATGTTTTGAAAATGATGAGCAAAGGGTTTTCTTCCAAAATTTTAAATTTATTTTAAATAATTTATAAAGTGTTAGACAACAAAGTGGTCTGGATTTTGTACAATTCCTACCAGAAATAAAATCTAACCACAATATGCCAAATATTTAATTAATATATTTGAAAGCTTAGTTTAATTTGGGAATTTGTGTGATGGTTCTATTTTAACTAAAATCAATAACTTATATTTTTTAAAATGTTATTTTGTTCTAATAGGTGAATCCACTTCTGGAGGCATTTGGCAATGCACAAACTGTGATGAATGATAACTCAAGTAGATTTGGAAAGTACATACAGCTAAAATTTATGGATGGTGCTGGTAAGTTAAAAACTTATGATCGCTACTTTTATGCACCTTGAGCACTATTTCAGTGGACATACAAGATGCAAGATAATTTATTGTCCAAGTAAGAAAAGATATATGGAAATTCTGTTTCACTTTACATGACTTATCGTCATCATCATTGTCATCATCATCATGTGGTTTTTATGTATTTTGTGTTGCTGCTTGTTTAATTGCTGTTGATGATTTTCACCATTTGTGGGTAATTCTTAATTTTCTTGTGTTTTTAAACTATTCTATTATATATTGTACAGCCCTTTGGTGTCTGTTGGAAAGTGCTCAGTAAATCTTGGAAATGAATAAATAAATCATCATCATATATTATATATCATATCATTTACTTCGCCTTTTCATTTACAGTAGATAAAACAAGAAAACAAAAAACAGAACAGAAGTAAATCAATGAGACATGATTACCTAAATGTTATAACAAAACAATGAAATACTTAGATAAAATTATGAGAAAAACATGCAAGATAAAAAGTTATTAAAAAGTTAAGGAAAGGAGAGTAACTGGCATCATTATTGTGGTCAATTGTGTATGGGTGTGGTTCATGCCTACTACAGCATAATAATTCTTTTCTATCTGCTAACTAGAGCATTAAAATGAAAATATCAGAATGTTTTTTATTACCACAGTAATGGGAGCAAAAATTTCTGAGTATCTGCTTGAGAAGTCGCGTGTGATTGGTCAGAATCCTGAAGAAGAAAATTTCCATATCTTCTATTATATGTTTGCTGGTTTAAGTACAGAAGATTTTCAAAAATATAAACTGAAAAGTGCGGAAACATACAAGTAAGACTGAGTTTCCTTTAACTGGTTAGGGGATAAATTATATTTTATTTCAACTCTTTTGTCATGAATGCGAGTGATTGGTGATATGATTACTGTATAGCGTTTCATTCAAGGGATAGAATAATTTATGTAAATATATATTTTTGTAGATATTTAACAAATGGCCCTGGACGAGTTCAATCAAAATCAACAGAAACTAAGAAATTATTTGCTGAATTGAACAATGCGATGGATCTTGTTGGTTTTATGGATGATGTAAGTTAAGCTTTAATTCTTACAAACACTCATGTCTTCGAGAAGCTCCGGGATTTCCCGGATATGAGCTCAACCTTCCGGAATCTTTGCTTTTTAGTTATATTTGTCAAGTAGCATATCCAGGATTAGAGAAGATTCAAGTGAAGTGTGGAGTGTGGTAGTAAAATTTTGGAATCTGCTAACATTTTTTGCTATTGGTGCATAATACCTCCTTGCCTTTTTTCATTCAAGTAAAACAGTTTCTGAACATTGGGTGCTAGAGATCAATGTAACAATATAGTTCTTTATTTTATTTAATTTTTAAGCTCAGGGCCAAGGATATGCCAATAGTAAACTTATCACTTTACTAAGTGAAAATCCTTCACAAGACAAACATACAAACAAGACGCTTTACATAAACTAAGCCTCATTATGAGTCTTACAGCGTGGAGTTGTTTTGGTCGTGAGAAAAAATCCTGTTACCATGACAGGATTTGAACCCAGGACCTTGGTATTGGAAGGCAAGCATCTTCACCACCAAACTATTTAACTTCACTTAATTGCTAGCTTTAAAATATTTTGGTTTATTTTATGATAAAAAAAATGTTGACAATTTAAGAATTTGTACACATTTAGTAACTTTGTATGTGTACTGTATATCAACCACCCAATAGTGCAGAAATAATGGGATTTAGACCAGCATGACCACCTGTTGTCAGATGCCATGACGAGTTTGTTAAAATTAAAATTTTAATAAGATGCTGATTCTTGATCAAAGTCAATCCTTAAAATATTGTCTTCTGAAAACACATATTGGGCCACTGTAAACAATCTCTCACCATTTACTCCACCAGGGACTTTATTCTGGGACACAGACCAATGCTCTCCATGTGGCGGACCTCAGCTTGAGTTTTTTTTTTAGCGTTGTTGGAAAGTTTCTAGAGCTACCACTGACACTTGACATAATTATTTCAATGATGCAACTGTGAGGAAGCTCTATATCCAAGTCAAGTATGGTTGATAAGCTGCACAAATCCTGTGATAATCTTAATACAAAATGTGGTTTATTTCTCAGGAGAAAGAGGACATGTTTACAATCTTGGCTGCTGTTCTGGCATTTGGTCAGATTGAGTTTGATGTAAATGACAACGATGCGGCATTTGTTAAGAATCCTCAGGCAGTGCAAGTTGTTTGTGTGAGTAAACAATAATTTAAATTATAAGTCGAACGTGACATTATCACTGCAACTCCCAATGTTATTTGCCTTTCCCCCACAGTCCAATAATTTTTCAATTAGTGGACACTTGGCGTGATTTTTTTTATGTTCGTGTGCAAAAAAAATTTCTCATTTTTTCATCACTTCGAAGACATCTTGCACCACAATGAAAATTCAATTGTGATTGAAAATTACTTTTGTAAAACAATATTAATTAGAACCCGAAGAAAGTTATTTCAAATTCAATATTAAGCATCTTGCACCGCGATGAAAATTCAATTGTGATTGAAAATTACTTTTGTAAAACAATATTAATTAGAACCCGAAGAAAGTTACTTCAAATTCAATATTAAGTATGAACAGTTAAGGAATTCATTGAATAAGTGGACCCTCATAAACAAAACAAACTGAACATTATTGTAGACCTATTTTGAAGACTCAAGGAACAAATTTAGATGTAGATAAACGGCCAGACAGGAGGCCATCGCCTCCTTTTTTTTTCCTTTTTTTTTCAAGCCTACTCATGAAATCATCGCACAATTTTTACCTGTCTGCATGCTCCGACCAAAAAGGTCAGTGACTGTATTCTCTCCCGAATTCTGAAATGTTTATTTCTTTACGAACGTCTATCAAAAGAGCATTACAAACAAGTTCTTTCTAACACAATACAAATTACAATAGTTATTCATCATAACCATACTGTACTGCTGATGTGTAGATGTGTAGCAGGAGCACAAATCAGCATACGCACACAGTATACTGATCATATCACTATAGCAACCAATGACTGCTACAACAGTTGGTTATCAAAAACTAAAATTAAAAGACGGCGATTGACTTATAAAGCAATTAGTAGAGCATGCATCATACACTAATGCAAAATTATTATACTTAGGTTAGATTTAATGCATTCAAAATTTCCTTCAGGCCTTGCGCAGGCTCTCAGGAAGTTTTTCAAGCATTAAATCTAACCTTTGTATAATAATTTTCCTATAGTGTACTATGCCAAGCTCTACTAATTGCTTATTAAAGTCTGTCCTTATAATTGTAGAGAGCAGCATACAGGTATCAGTTGACTTTGGTTTGACAGTGGTTATTTTATGCTAACCTTCATAATCTTTGAAATCCTAGTTTGATCCCATACAGCTGTTCTCTTTTTGTTTTAGCTGGAGGGCTGAATATACAACAATCAATTAATGTAATTAATTGGATATACTGTACTGTACTTTTTTGACACAGGTCTACATTCCATATTAGTAACATGTTTTATACTTTAAAAAAATTAGAAACCGAATACCAGTATTACTCTTAGCATTGCAGTCCACGTTGCTACTTGGGGATCACATGCAACACTAGCCACTGAGCCCATGCTAGGTGGTAGTGGTTAAGAAACAAGGCTAGTTATCTGGAGGTAGTGGGAACGATTCCCAATCACTTTTTTCGCTTCGTACTTGCGAATGTTCTGATCATTCAGTACAATAACATATCTGCTAGGGCAAAAAAAAGGCTAGGTCTTAAATACAACCATTGTTATACTTTGAAGGATTAAAATAATAGCATGAGTCCTGTGTGTTTGTGTAATGGTTACTTTTGTATGTACCATACAACTCCAAAGGCTAGGAAGCAAACTGTCTATCAAAAAGGAATTAATGTAGCTGACAAATCTACCTCAAATAGCTTTTTGCAAGATCTTTTAAATGTGTAATGCAACTTATCTGTAGATAATGAGTAAAAAGTCATTAGGTGTATTACAGATGGTTAACTTGAGGTAAAAAATCTCCACGTCAAAAAACTGTTTGGGCTGTTCGCCAAATTTCATTATCACATGTCATTGCAGAGCTAAGAACTGTACTTGGAAACATTATGAGAGATAGTAACATCTACCTCTATAACACAAAAGAGATTATTGTTGTATAAGCTCAAAATAATAATTAAACCAAAAATTTATTCTTTTTTTCATTCTTGTAGTCTACCAGCTAAACATGCAAAACCTTGATTTGATCATTTTGTCTTTAGTTCAAATTTTTGTAATTGAATTTTTAAATGTTTATTTGGACAGGATTTGCTTGGGATGAACAAGGATGAATTAATTGGCATCCTAACTTACGCTAAAAGTTCTGCTCATGGTGAAGTCTTCCAACGCAACTACACTGCAGAACAAGCACGCGACTCCAGGGATGCAATGACCAAAGCGCTGTACGGTCGTCTCTTTAGCTGGATTGTGAACAAAGTTAACCAACTCCTAGCCCCTGAGGATGATCTAGATACTAGCAAGGGCACTGAAATTGGTGAGGAACGCTCTCAGTAATAATCATCGCTTTTACACTGTTGCATTTTCTAGAAAGTCATGTGATGAAGTAATGCTTTCTCATTGTTTTATTTTTTTGTAGGTATTTTGGATATATTTGGATTTGAACATCTGCATACTAACAGCTTTGAGCAAGCGTGCATTAATCTAGCAAATGAGCAACTGCAGTTCTTTTTCAACAGGGTAAGTTCAATCATAAAGTTAATTATTTGAGGGGTTTTCTAAGGCTGCATACTATATCCCAAGCCTACAGTTCCTCACACAAATGGAAAAAATAATAGTACCCCCTCTATTGGTGAGAATTGGTGCATTTAACTTCATTATAAAAAAGCAATAATCTGCATTAGCATAAAGTACTGTCGTGACCTTTGATTTTCAATAAATTACATCATATTCTTAGGAAAAAATTTAGAGACTCTGATTATCTTGGAATGACCTAGACCTTGTTTAAAATTCACTACCACAATGAATATTTCTTTGGTTTTGTTTTTATGTACTTTTGGTTGGGAAAGCCATTCGATGTGTGCAATTCTTAGATTGTTTTTATTTATTTTTTTAAATTTTTATTCGGCTTTACACTGGCAACAGTACAAAAATATATATATAAATATATACTTTTGGTCACCCACAGGAACTATTGTACTTTCGTATATTTTCTTTTGATTTTTTTTTTCTGGAAATGGAACAAAATTTTAAAAAAAAAATAAAAAAAAAATCTCATTATAAAATAACTCCCTATCAGAGCCTCTGACATTTTTAATAGTTGAATGTTCAAAGCATTACATAATTAAAAAAAATAAATTTTAATATTAAAGATATATTTATTTTTTTTAAATTTGCATACAGTACTGTCCTAACCTTTGATTCTTCAATGAATTACATCTTATTCGTAGGACAGAATTTAGATGGGTCTTTGAGTTCCCTAGACCTTGTTCAATATTCATTGCCAGAATAAATCTCATAAAAAAGTAATTGCTGTCAGAGCCTCTGACATTCTTTATATTTGAATTTTTAGTGCATTACATAATTTATTTTTATTTTAATATTAAAAATATATTTGAGTCTGGGTAATTATTAACACAATTGTACATGCCCAAATTATGGTCAAATATAAATAATGGTTATATGTGTAACTAATACTGTTTATTTTGTTCCATAGCACATCTTCCTTCTTGAACAAGAGGAGTACAAGAATGAAGGTGTTGATTGGAAGAGTATACCATTTGTCAACAATCAACCTCTGCTTGTTAGTATAAGTAATTTCTGTCATTTACTGTATCATTTAAGTCACATTCATGAATTTGCAGCTTATATTTAGTGGTTACCAATCTCTATTTTTTTTATTTGTTTCCTATCTGCTTGTATCTCTGTTCCTTTTCCTATTGTGACTATTTTTCTACATTCTTTCTTATCTGATAATGTACCCCCACCCTCCCTAACCAAAATCATTTGCTTTTTATTATTTTTTCCGATTAGTAGCTTTTTCTTTTTGTTGAATGATCATAAGACCTCTATTCAAGATTCAAAATTCTATGTTTCTTACCTTTCTGTCAATCATGAATCTTATCTGAGCAAACTTCTGAGTGATTCATTACTGTCAACCCACTGCAGGATGCTCAAGATAGCATCATAATGGGATGTTAAGAGCTCATCAACCTCATAGCCTATAGCTAGTTTTCTCATCCCACTATGACTTTCATTTAATTGACCATCAGCCATTTATCTACTTTGCCAGATAAAATGCCCATATGATATTAAAAATATAAATTATTAAAATGTTAACCATTATTGTTTTAAAATTTTGCAAGATTCTGTTTAATGTCTTTTTTTTTCATAGGATCTTTTTTTGGCAAAACCTATTGGAATATTTGCTCTTTTGGATGAAGAGAGCCATTTTCCAAAGGTAAGTGAAGGCACTGTCTATTAACCGATTAATGGCTCTATGAATTTTTGTCAAATGATGGCCAGCGCTGATGCAAAAATAACATCAAAAATACAATTTAAAGTGCATTTTCAAGAGTTTTTTTTCATGCTTTCATTATTCAGAAATCAAAGTTAATGTCTGGAGTGGAGCATGATTCATCGGAACAAACAAGAGAGAAAAAATATAATTACCTTTTAACATATTTTTCTGTGTATTACATTCAGAACAGCTTAAAATGGACCAACATTGACAATTTTTTTTAGCCCTGCTATTACTTTGCTCCCCTAACTCAACTGACCTTTAGAAGTTTGTAGGCATCTTATTCCCTCCCATTTGACAAATTCTGGAACCACTGTGTCTCACAACACAGGTGGTGATAGAGGAGTAAAAAGTGTGGGTGATGATGTTGCTATTTTGATGATGATTTAACTTATTAATAATAATCATTCATTTTTATTATTAGTATTGAGCAATTGTGTTTTTATATATTTTCTGTACAGGCAACTGATCATTCATTTGTTGAGAAGATGGGTCAAAATTTTGCTAAAAACCACCACTATATAAAGGCTAAAGTGGCATCCAGTAACAACTTCAGCATTGACCATTACGCAGGAAGGGTCAGTGTGCCTAATATATTATAGATGTGTGATTAAAAGTTTTTGTTTCGGTGTATTTAATATTTTTTCATTATAAAATACTGTACAGCATTATTGCTTGCATCTGTTCTTGTGAAAGAAGACTTTCACTGGACTTGTCCACCTGTTCTTACTGTTACTTTAAGAAAATCAATAACAAAAAGACACATCAAGCATAAGGGAGCTTGAAACTTTAAATAAGCAGTGGACAAACATACCGTAAAACCTCGAATTGAAGCTCAGTGGGCTTAATCTTGAGATGAAGTTCATCTCAAATAGAAGCCCTCTCTTTAGTTTGCAAAATTAGCCTCGAAAAGAAGCCTATCTCAAAAAGAAGATGGTATAGTATATACACTCAGACTGTACATGAATTCTAAAAAAAACAAATAAATTAAAACAAGCTTGGTTTATACAGTATTTTAGGTGATTTAATGTTAGTTAAATACACTTATAATACAGATTGATGTTATAGTGGCCGTATTTATTATAGTACAAATTCACAGAATGTGCAGCTTTCATTTTTAAAATAATCCTCCTCCAACTACAAAAGATAATAGAAAATATAATAAAAATATTTTGTCCTTGGCCTTTGCTAACTATTACCAAATACTAGATCATAAAATGTTACCTTCCCATGATTTATTTACTGTTTATAACTGACAATACTACCTGTAATAATAATGATGATGGTAATAGCAACTATATAAAACATATTAATAAACTGAAATAGAACACTTTCTGGCATACTATTATTTAATATGTTAGTCTGAAGTTCATATGTTAATTTTATATGGATATAAAGTAATGTAAATTATCTTTTGATGATTATTGCCAATTGGATATTAGATATGGATGGTGATCCCGAAGAGTATTTGCATATTATTTTGCCTATCTTTCCCATCCATGTCTGGTCTGACACAAATAAATATACATTAAGATTAAATAAATAATTAAAATTAATTAATTCACATAATAATGCGGAAAATGGCTACACGTACACTCGGCAGGTGGAAAACAGCGCCGTGAGCACCCCTACTAGGGATGGATACGTGCGCCTAACAAAATGACATTATTATTATTATTATTATTATTATTAGATAATATTAGTGATGATAATAATTATAATAATTTCAACGATTATTATAATGGTTCTTATAGACCATTTTCGCGAAATTTGAAATGAAAATTTCCGATAACCTGGCAACTACCACTGGGGGACTGTCAGAGGCCTAGCATTTCCTGGTACGTATTTACTATTATGGATTAAATCAACAATAAATCTAATCAGGCTAGGCCACTGATAATCCCCCAATGAGTTTCAAGACGTTGGAGGCGCTGTTTAAAAATAAATACGATAAAATTGTCTTTTTAGCAATTTAATACCATTAGAATAGTTGAAACATAGAACCATAATAAAGATTATATTTTCCTGAATTTTTTCCCAGGTGGAATATGATGCAAACAATTTCCTGGAGAAGAATCGAGACTCATTACCGAATGGAACAATGCAGGTGTTCCAAGGGGCGGAGAACCAGCTGCTTGGCATCATCTTCAAGGGTAACATTCATGCTAACTTGTATAAATAATATTCTAATATGCTAATACTGTACAAAATTTTTTAATTTTTTTTGGTCTTTATGCATTCGGCCCACCGGCAATTTTTTTTGTGGCCCACGACAATGAATTAAAAACCCTATGTTTGCGGCCCGCCGATCAAAATTGTCTACAAAGCAACACCAATCATGTAAAAAGTAACGTTAAAACTGAGGATAAGGTGATGTAAAAGCAGTGCTTGGAGGTTTTTGGAAGCTCACTGGATTTGAACCAGCAATTTGAACCTGCTTCTTTCAGCTCAAGAAGCAGGAACAATACCTCTTGACCATACGCTCAGCACTACTAATTTGTATTTATAATTTAATTTGACTGTTTTTAAGCTCTGAATTGCCAGTGGAGACGAACTTCTCTTTATCCAGACAAAACTGTTTATCTTAAGTTAAAGCCCTAAAAGCCTTGATGAAGTAATTTTTGCAACATAATGAGATTATACTTGCTAATGTAGTTTCAGTAGTATTTACATGGTCATTCGGATTATGTCCCTGTAGATAATCTTTGTTGCGATTAACCCGGTAATTTAAATTAAGCGTCTGTATAAAATGCTAATTGTAAATGTTTAGTCTTTGTTCGGATTAACAAGATAATTTCCCTGTACATGATGCTAAATGATGTAGTCTTTTGTAGAGGTTAACCTGTTAATTTGGATTAAGTCCATAGGGACCCACTTATGTTGTAAGACAATCATGTAATTATTTTGAATATTTTTACCTTTTTGTGCATAAGGCGCGAGACTTTCTTTATTCCTTGTTTCATGTAATTTTGTTTTCTTATTAACAAGTAGTTTTGCCAAAATCATTAGACGGAGGAGAAAATAAAAAATAAAATTTTATTGGTGAATGTAAAATAGGATGGTTAAATGCTTCAAATTTATATAATTAAGAAGTACAGTATGCATGTCTTATCTTTGGAGATTTCAAGGCAGCAGAGGTGTAATAAAAATAAAGAAAAACTTTTTAATATTTTTCTGAAATTTCCCATTTTTTCCTGGCAGCGGGTGTGCTAATTGGCCAAAAATAAAATGTTAGTTATATTCAAAATCATCAATATTGGTTGTTGGCAGGTTCGCAAAAAAATCTATAAAAAAAAGTCTCACCTAATAATTTGCTATTATGTACACAAGCCAGACAACGAACCACACCGATATAATGGATTGTGGTGCCCATGTAATAACTAGCTACTCACCCAATTGACTTTTACTCTACATTGTATATACACAGACATAAATATTTGAATATAATGGGTTTATGGCAATGTATGAGATTGTTTTAAATTAAAAAAAAGCAAACGCTTCTTAAGAAAATGGAAACTTTTGTGTATTTCAGCCACAATATCACGCACAGGCACACTAGCATTACAGCGACGAAGCAGTAAAAAGTCGGCAATGAAGTCGAGAAAACGAAGGGTGAGTGAAATATGGCTTATGTTTTACTCACAAAAAATGGAATTATAGTCTCATATGTGTTTACATTATGCAGTCGACGGTGATGAATCCAATAAGTGCTGGAATACGTCCCCTTGTATTTTAATTGTAAAAATTGCCAGGAAAACATCAGCCATTTTCAAAACTTGTCTCAAGGTGGAGCATGAGATGCTTACATTGTCAGTATCAGCATGGAGTCGGGGGGAGTCGGGGGGGGGGGGGATTCGGGCTCAACATTAATGTATAGAATATATTATTTTTAACATAGTTTTATTATGTTGGTATTTATATAATTAAATTCATTTTATACATGACCTAATAATAACTGATAATTTGATTTTAATTATATTATAAATGTTAATGAAATGAAATGGATACTATTAACATCATATGTCAATCAATCAAGTAGTTTAGTAGTATATTTTTCATCAATCATTAATATCTCAATGGCTCAATGACAGTACATTTTAATTTATGACCTGCTTCAAGTGCTTATAAAATATGAGACATCAAAAATATAGGTTACTGTGGGGATAACTACTACTGTAAAATAATTATTCTATAAGCTATTGGTCATCAGCATAATGGGTTTTTGCATACAAACAAATTTCAGCGAACAGTAGATGCCACTAGTGTCAAATTTACAAACTATATGTATAACATACTATAGTGTATGCAATTATGGATCCATAAAGTTTATACAAATTTTCCCTGTTGTATCATTCACAATTTTCACTATTGTCTATTATTGGCTTCCTGTGCATAAGGAAGTTTAGTTGGTGGTTATAATACTTGCCTTCCAACTCACTAAATTCTGGGTTCAGTTCCAGCAAACACCAGAATTATATCTAAAGACTAAAATCAATTCCATTCGCTAAAGCCTCATATGGCCGACATGGTTGGTGTCATCATACAGATAGTTTCTCAATGATCCGCTTAGAATTCCGCTGACAGCCAGTAAACTGGGTAAGCTTCCTATAGATGAATTTGTCCTCGGGTGTCGGCTGATGTAGCATGCCCCAGGATTTAGTTTCAGTTTCTTCCTATAAGTGGGAAGTGGTACACTTCTAGATGAGAATGAGCTTAAATATCTAAATTTGTTTCATCTCAGAGAACACCAAAAATTATGAAAGCAGCTGCATCAAAGAAAAAGCTGACAGTCTGTGCCCAATTCAAGGTAAATAATTTAACATGAAATACCGATTTTATATATCTTCTTTTTTCCAACAAATAAAAATATGTACATAAAACAGTTTCATGGCAGTAAAAGCTGAATGGAAACTGAATTGTTGAAATGTAGTTTTAAAAAATAAACAATACATGAACATGTTTGAACAGTTATATATTGAAAGCTAATATCTTAAATATGAAAATTAAAAAATCAAATATTTAATTAATTTTTGAATTTTATTAGCTCAGTTTAACATGTATAAACCAATTCCACTTATTTAACATTTAAATACTGCACAAACTTGTGTGGCACTTTCCTTGAAAGAAAAACGAGCTACTGGGCCGAGCCTTCAATTATGAAGTTAGCCTATAAGAAGATGATGATATGACATTATTGTTTTATTATGATTGCAAAATACATTTTATTCATGAATAGAATTCACTTTCCGTATTAATGGAGAGACTTGATCTTTCGAATCCACACTTCATTCGATGCGTAAAACCAAACACTGCAAAAACCTCTCGTCAATTTGATGGCAGGTTTGTGACGGCACAGGTGAGATTTTTTATGAATATTCATCAGTATTGATGAATACTGTAAAATGTACTAGTAATTGTACCTTAATCAATATTCTACTTTATTTTGAAGTCAATCATGTCACCATTATAAAGTAATTATTACATCCAATTTACCATAAGTTTTGCATATTTCAAAAGGTGTTGTAATCAAGAAAAATCAATGGAATGATGTTCTGCCAAAATCTTACATGTTATTGTACTGTATACTAAATATGTTCCATAATATTTCAAGTTATTCAGAAGGGAATTGAACCTACAACCTCCCAATAACTAATCCGGTAATATCCCCACTAGACCACACAATTTGTTGTTAGTGGCTAAGGTAGATTTCGATCCCCAATCTAATACAATGCTATATCAAAAGGTATGTTCCATTAAGATAAGCCGACTCAATAGTACTGTAATAGTATTTTGTTCAACCTGACATGGTAATGTACTGTATCCTCAGTACATCCAAAAATACTTTTGAAAAAAATAATTGCCAGTTCTGGTAAAACATTATCCAGGCATCTAGTGGTAAGCATATGCTTCCTGTTCGTCTCTAGGCCTAGCTATCCATTAACCTCCAGCATCATAGCTTCAAGCTAGAATTCACTCTGTCATCTTTAGGGAAAAATGATGAATAATTATATTCCTTTCCATCTCACTATCATCATAAAAATATGCATTTGTTGCTTCTTTATTTTTTATTTTTTAAAATTTTATTCAGTTTAAAACAAGCAGCGATAAAAACCGCCACTAACAGGTTGAATCGAAACATAATAAAATATATGTAAACAATAACCTTCTTCAACCATATAATCCTTACTGGGGTGAGGTGGCATTGTTTACAATCAATTTTTTAGAAATTAGCAAAGTTTTATTTGATTTTTAAGCCCTTTAAGGTCTTCCATATTAAATTTTTTTTTATTGTATGACATTTTTCCATATTTTAATCTTAAAATTTAATTTGACAAGAAACACAAATGACAATAATAATAATAATAATAATAATAATAATAATGACAATATTTATCAATAAGACTTAAAATTGTGAAAGGAATATATCTTTAATAGTTATACATGCAAGGGTCTTTATCACAATGATGCTGTCTACTAATGGGCGATAAAATCTAAATAGTGTTGGATAGCGCTCTGCAATGGGATAGATCCGAGGTTGTTAACGCTTTTAGTCTTCTAAATTTATTGTGAAGCACTGTTAATGCATGTGTGTACTTTTTCAGCTTCGATACACCGGTATGCTTGAGACGACTAGGATTAGGAAGCTGGGCTACGCAGTGCGACCTCTCTTTGAAGATTTTGTCAAAAGGTTACTTATCTAATTACATTTTTATTGCCGCATATCTTCCTTGGGGTATATTGAGACAAAGATGTTTGACATTATTATTCACTTTGCGATGCTGGTCACTACTATTACACGCAGATGCTCTTGTTTTTAGGATGTTCAAATTTCTGCAGGATTTCCTCTGTGTGTTCAAATAACCTTCAAAGTTTCCTTGATATTTATATTGGAAACATGAATAAACCTGTGATTGACACATGTTTGAATGACAATTTATCTTGGAAAGACGGAATTTCATATTTCAATATAATTTCCAACTTTCCTGGATAAATGATCATGAAAATGTATCTTAATCAGCTTTATCCCAAGGGGGTAGCCTCTGTATGGATGGAATTGCATAGTTTTATTATTGAACCTTTGTATATGCATCAGTTTGCTTTATGATCATTTAAAATAATAAATTCACTATATTTGTTATATGTTCCTATTTAGTTTTTCTCCCTCATTATTGATCATAGGCTTGCTGTGAAAAGTATATATATTTTTACTATTTTGTATTGGACATTTTATGTATTCCATTCTGTAATTGGTGGGCAGCTTGCAACTGTTTATTATGAAGTTAAACACATTAAAAATAATATGTTTTACAATGTGTTAAAATAATTTTCCATAAATCGCATAAACAAATAATATTGTTTCCTAATACTCAGATACCGTATCTTGGCGTTGAGCCCAAAGTTGGTAACAGACAACCGTGGCGTTGTGAAGATCTTAACTGACATGAAATTGACGGATTGGCAGATTGGGTATGATTCTTGAAATTATTACAATATTCATGTATATTTCAAAGAGTACAGAATGACAATAGGACCAACTCTCCCGATTTTGCAGGCCCACTGAAACGGAAGACGCAGTACTCCAATGTGATAGGGGGTGCCCTATTATAATTTAAATATCTTTGAAATTTCGAACAGGCATTCTTTACATGTAGCATGTGCTTGTTGCAACCGACTTTTATGTGTATATCATTTTTTTAAGGACGTTCTCTAGTTTGTTGTAGTATTTTTCGATTCCATTTCAAGGAAACCAAGACAATCGGACCTTGTCATTCTATAATCTCTGATATTATACTTCCATGATATGATTGTGTATTTATACATTAGTATATTTGTCCTTTTCTAATATTTTTATTATTTACATCTTAGTTCACAAATATGCCTTTAAAAGGTTTAAATCCTATCAAATATGAAATGACTTATCCTAATAATATTACAGGAAAACCAAAGTCTTTTTGAAGTATTACCATCAAGAAAAGTTAGAAGCAAAGATGATAGAGATGGGAAAGTCTGCCATACAAATGCAGAAGATTGTGCGCGGGTTCTTGGTGCGTGTCAAATTCCGACGTATGTTAGAAGTTGCACGTCGGGAAGCAAGAGAAGCAAAGGAGTTCTTGGAAAAGATGAAACAAATGGCGTTAGTGAATCATCAGACGCAGTTGAAACTAGTGGAGCATGACAAAGATATTCCAGCTGGTAAGTATGTTAATAAATATTATGTAATATCTGTAATTATATGGTTTTTTTGATATAGATCATATTGCTTTATTATATTAGCTCTACTGCCTCTGTTATACTGTTCTCATTAGAGTTTCTGAGAACTTGTTTTCATATATGATTGGTTTTTGTCAGGGTCCCAAATGATAAGCAGTTGCTATATCCTTCATCTTCCTTTATAAATAATATAAATAAATTCCACAGGTCTTCAGATATAAGCATATCTTCACACACAAAATTGCACCAAATTAGACAGTGCGGTGAGATTATACCTGGGGAATGTCAAGCTGATAGCATGACCTTTAGCTTGTAGCAAATTTTCAACATTGCATGCAAAATCCATATAGTATATCCTTAACATTTTTTTTTTCAACATTTATAGAGCTTTGTCTACACTATCAAATTTTATGTGACAAAAAAAATGTGATGTGCCCATATATACGATGACTTCATATCACATGTTATCTAATTGTATCAAAAAAAGTATATTCAACTCTTATGTTCCATCACCTTTTGTGTGACGCTTTTTTGATGAAATTTGCACAGACAAAGCTTTAGTTAGCTGAGTTACTTATTGAAATCATACCCTGAAAAAATGCTGGTACGTGGAATCAAACATTAAATTAAGGGGTGGGGGTTTCTTCATAGTGTATTCCAAATGGTTATAATCTGTAAATGAATAGATAAGCAAAAGACACAAGCAATTGAATTAGCCTTTGATTCGAACCCAAAATCTGTTTAATTTCCAGAGCCTTACCACTTAACTTTTTACTTTCTTTTAGATTATTTTGATGAGAAGAATGAACCTGCTATTCAAATAGATGAGGCTCCACCACCACCACCACCTCCTGCTGTGCAGTTTGCCCCTGAAGCCACCCCCCTTGAAGATGTACAAGAAGAGGTATGAACTCGGATCTTGTATAATATGAAATCTATCACTTGAAGTACCGCCCCAGCTAAAAATTTGGCATTATAATGACGTTACAGTTTGGTGTACAAAATGTTTTTAAGTACAGCCATATGTACTTATTTATAGTGTAATTTCACAACAACTAAATACTGATGCAACTTATGCTGCAACATAGCTTTAACATGATTTTCTGACATTCTATTAAAACAAAATGTTCACTAAAATTATTTGAGCTTTAGCTGGCCTTGCTCTTCTCATACAAAGTGAAATACAATATTTGATGAATACAAACCTAGATTGAAAAAATAGATGTATTGACTATTATGTTTCCATGGTTTCTAAAATACAAAAAAAAATGGTAATTTTTAAAAGTAATTTAAGTGGTTACTGAAACATATATCTTTGTTGTATGACTGTGTTCTCTACAATATTAACATGAGCTTTTGGATTACTCTCATAATTTAGGCTCATGAATCTGGTGGAGAAACAGATCAGGAAGATATTTTAGAAGATGAATTTGTTCGCACAAAAGATATTGGAAAGTTTGGCGCGAAAGGATCAAGGGCTGCCTCCGTTCGTTGGTTTCAGCAAACACAAACAGATCAAGTACGGCAGACCTCGGACGGACAGTTTGCCCCTTGGTTTCACGGCATTATCACTAGAAGGTAAACATTTATGCACAATGCAACTTCTATCTCAGATAATAATCAATAATGTTAAGTGACTTTCATGAATTTTGATTATCTCTTCATTATTCTTACAATGAAGAATTATTAATGGCAATATCGCAGTGACTCTGTAATTGGCTATGTTGTCAGTACAGATGTAGTCACTATGATAATGACAATAACTGAATGAATCTAACTTATTTATAGTAGTTAAATTTTATTTTTAAATTTTTAGAGAGTCTGAGCGCTTATTACAGAATAGAGCAATTGGTTGTTTCTTGATACGTGTCAGTGAGAGTCGCTTTGGCTATTCCTTGTCAATGAAGTAAGTTTTTACGTATTTATTCCCAGTATTAAACGACAGTAACTTAGATAAATCTATATATTTGTCTTTTATTGACTGTTGTTTGTACATTTTATATTGTACCTGATAGTCAAACACATGTACTTGTACACAAATGCTGCAATTTATCTATTTCATTAATTAATTGTATTTGCTCAATTATAATAACAGAATAATTGTTTTTAAGTGTCTATAAAAGTAATCATCAAAATAACTATCAGGTAAAGGAAAAGCAATCGAAGAACCGTAGGCAATAACTCCTAGTTTCCTGGGTGTTGTGTAGACCTAACCTTATATTAGAGCAGCGCATTTATTATTATTTAAAAAGTTTTCCCTTGTATAACAGTATTCAAGATTGATACTATTCTGTTTTTTTTTCGTTTTTGTTTTTCAGGACACCATCGAAAATAAAGCATTTTATGATTGACCAATTACGTAATGGGAAATATGTTGTTGTCGGTGAACTTCCAGTATTCAGAACACTTAATGAGATGGTGATTTATTACCACAAGGTATATAAAGAATATTACTATTATTAATATTTGAAGGTCATTAACTGCACTTTTTTATTACTGAAATAATAGCCAATTTTTCCTAAATTAAAAGTGTTCATATGATCTGAAAATACTATAATGTACTTGTATTTTATTACCAACATTTTAAACTGATATTGTACAACAGTAGCAATCTTTGCTTAACCGGTACATGTATCCTTCTTTTATTTTGTTTTTTAGTTTTTAACGTCAAATTTTGTATTGTAATTTTTACAGAACCCTGTATCACCATTTGGAGATTTTTTAACTGAACCATGTGGACAGGTAAATTGTGATTCTGTATTTTATGCATATTTTTATTATTATCCTTAGTTTGGTATAAAGATGACCAGTTAAGCAATAAAAATATTTGTCATACTGTTATGACTATAATTTATTTTAGTTATATTTTATTAGGAATAATTGAATGGTTAAGTAACTTTCATTATTTTATCAGATATTTTTCTCACAATTTAATAGGTTCATGAAAGTACAGACTATGCTAGTCTAAAAAAATAATTTAATAAAGAGCCAGTACTCAGGCTAAATTTACGATTACCTGCAAAATCTTATGCTAAATAGACATCATAATAGTAATCTCTAAATGCTACCACTTATTAACTACAGAATCATTAAAGTGTTATTTCAGTTCAGGTTACTTTCATATATCATTTTTTGCATGCGTGGATTTAGAGGGTAATATTGTGTAAACATGCACTTTTTTATTACTGAAATAATAGCCAAGTTGGCTTAAATTAAAAGGTTTTTAAGACCTTTAAAAATATCAATATATCATCCACACCTGCGTTATGTGGGGCCGAGATTGATTCAACCCATCCGACATTTTTGGAAGCCTGTCCTAAAGAAAGGTATATTAAATACACTAAAAACTATATAATTATACCTGTGATGAAATAAATAATTAGGTAATAACCTAGGCTATGTTGGTTTACAGACTTAATTCGATTACCACGTAATTGAAGTGTATGTGGGGGAATATTGGATTAGTATAATTTATGTGTATAATATATTGATTACAAACCAAATTAAAGGCCTGAGAAAAGGATCTGTGAACAGTATTAATTATTTATCCTTCTGTGGATGGATGAGGAAATTATGCAATTAGTCTATGCTCTAAAAGCATCCCAAACTCTTTGCTTTATAAAACATAAATGCAATCTCCACTGTTTTATTTACTCTTATTTATCGCCCTCATACGTCCAGTACTTGAATATTCCTCAATCTTCAAACTAACGTTTCCATATTGAATCAATCCAAAAAGCATTTACATGATATCCCAACAAACCTCACTATATCGAATATATAGACAGGCTTGATCACCTTCAACTAAACACTTTTGAACATAGACAAATTTTTCTTTACCTTATTTTTCTATACAATTATTAATGGTATTATTGGAATTGATTCACTTAAGTATATTTCATTCAATAAACGTCAACCCTATCCAACACTTCACCTACCCCCACTTCCCCTCCCCCCCCCCCCCCCTTAATGCAATGCACTTGCACTTCACTATTTATTAATTCATCATATTCCAATCATCTGGAACAGACTCCCATGTTTATCCTCCTCTGTTTCTTCTTTCAAAACCACTATCAAACCCCTTCGCTAAGCCACTTGCATCATTTATTATTTACTTAATTATGTATGTATTGCTAGCTAATTTATTTACCTATTATTTAAAAAAAAAAGTTTTTTTTTAATTGTATTACAGTATTAACTTAAGTATAACATGTCAATATTACTATTAATTTAATTTACTATTTTTTAAATGTTATTCTGATACAGTAGGTACTTTGTACAGGGACCTTTTCCCTTTGTTACCTATTTGTCTCTTATTTAAGATAAATAAAATTATGAACGATGAACAAAGTTTAATTGAGAGCTAAAAATGGAAGTACACAGTTCAAATATTAAATTTTATTGTTGTCTTGAACAAAGAGAGTGTAATTGAGATGGATAAAAGTGTTCTACAAAAGAAAATTTTGCATCCGAGTTTAAATATTCACTTTAGGTCATTATAATAAATTGCTTAAAAGCACAGGATTTTGCTTTTTCATAAATTTCTCTAAATGTCTTTAATTATCCACTTCGTACTTCCATGCACGCAAAAACGATGTCAGAAGTCGGGCATATATATAATTACACAACAGCTGGCAACGGATCCAACGATCCGTATGCAATTTATAGAGCTATATTACTTGAGCTTTTAATCTTTGCAGTATATTTATATGTGCCAAATACTGCTTTTCTCATTGCCCTTGGACACGACTCAAATGTCATTGTAAGCATGAATGACTTTTTCAAATTTTAACTTGATGGTTCATTTCCTAAAACTATCAGGCGATTTGAATAATCAGAATAAAAATTCTGTATAAAAAAAAAAAGTACATTGATTTATATTGATTTGATTTTGTTAATTCATTCATTCAATTTCAGCACTTAATCAAAAAAAAAAAAAATTACAAACGTAACAATGAAATTTCAATAAAACTATTTTGGGCTTAAGTTCATCCACGGATTTTCTAATAATATTGGTATAAGTTGCATTAAGTAAGACTTGAAATTTAACAGAAACTTAGTTCATAGTGAGAAACTGTTGTCTATCTCTCAGACAGTGGTGGTGCCAGACATTTGCTGACAAGGGGTTTGACGTGTCTGACGGAGGGGTCCGAACCAAGGTGGCAACAAATTACCTCTGCCCGGAATAAAAAAAATCCCTGTTAAGGTTCATGGGGAGAGTTTTTATGGCTTAATTTGGTCCTAAATGTGCCTTTAGACAACAATATTTGGGATTGGCAATCAAAATAGCATTATTTGGATTGGCAAATTATTATTCTTTTAAATTAACAACCTAGTTGTTCGTCGGACGACAGGGGGTGCAGCCCTGTCCGACGGGTGGGCAAATGCACACCCTGCCCCCCTTCCCTTCTTAATTGTTATTGGTATATTGTTTCTTTAATTGTTATTGTGTATTCTATTGCAGGAAACTGATGACTTTGATTATGCTGAACTGATGATTGAATCAGACGAATACCAGGGGATTGATTCAATTGCTGTAAGCTTTTATAAAAATAAGTCTAACATACAATTAAAAATTTCTGGGTGTGGTACATTGATCAAAACTCAAAATAATGTTTGTACCTTTCAATTTGTAAGGTGGAAACTATCAACTATAACATTATATAGAAACACGTTTACTGATCATCTCTATTTGTATGTCTCTAACTACAATGGAGCTTAGATGGTAATACCTAACTTTGAAAAGTAACATTTCCACCTTAAGGACAATAAAATTGCATCAGCTTTTAGCGTAAGATGCCTCCTTGTGCTTCACAAAAACAAAACAAAAATGATGAAATGAAACATAAAAACATATATTATTTTGTTTCAATTTTATGGATAAAATTGATCAACTCACCTACTCATTAATAATTTTGGACTGTGGATAATAATAATGATATAATAATAATATTAATAATATTAATAATAATATAATAATTTTGGCTTATATAGCACATTATCCTAAAGCCTCAATGTGCTTCACAATAAAAATGAAAATGCCAGGAGAAAAAATTTAAGAAAAGTACACATTAAAAAGGTGAGTTTTTAAAGCTGCCTTCAAATCAACAATGGAAGTTGCCTGTGTAATAAATCGACTCATAGTTTTTAATTGTACCAAAAGCACAGTCAACATAAAATACCCAGTTTACAATTATGGTCTTGTACTATATCACAAATCTTGGTTCATTGTAGATTTTATGTTGATAGCATTGCACATTTGAATCTGAACATTATGCACAATTTCAAAATCCCAAATGTTGATTACATTCACTCTAAATTTCATTTGTAACCTTGGCCATTTAGAAATAATAGCTTCATTATCATCAGCATCATGTTTTATAGTTGAACAATATGCTGAAAGCAAATTATTTTTATCTTATAGAACTATGCATATATAGTGCTGATATGAACACTAATAATATGTTGGTCTTATGCTTTTCATGCATCCATCTCCCTGGCAGAATATTCCATACAGTGGCGTAACGATGCGGCCGGGGCCCCTGTGTATTTCTTAAACTGGGGGCCCTTTTTGGGTCCTAGTCACCAATTCCATCGTGGGATTTTAGATGTGCATTGTTATTCTAAATGTTTTTTAAAGATGAATAGGCCTAAATGATATAATATGGATCCAGAAAGTCAAGGCCAGGAAGAGACTTTCACAGTAGGAGAGTCTATACCACCTCAGGCCCACCATGGTTGGGGCTGAGGTACATTTATGAATAGGGATGGTCGGAAACCATCCGACCTTTAGATGGTCGGAAATGGCACTTCACAGACACAGATTCTTTATTCTGCCACTGGATATATTATATGTCCTACAGTCGATTTCAGACACACATTATGCTGTTGCCCTTGTGGGGCTGAGATAAGAAAATGTATTATTATGGCACGTCTAAATGGCCGGAAATGGCACTCACAGACCAAAATTGTGAATATAATTTTCTTTTTATCTCCCAT